CTACCTAACAAATAACATCTCGATTTCTATTCGATGATCTCTATTTCGAGGTCTGTGTATGTTATATATATATATATATATATAGTTTTATACACACAAACATACATACATATATTATCTATATTATATTATATTTTTTTATACATTCAAAGTTTGTCACAAAAATAGAAGGCAATGCCATTATTGCTCCAGTATTATATAAGTGAGTTAACTATTCTCGTTTCTTCAATTCCTGCTTCTTCTCTGTTTTTGTCTCTTATCTGTAATATTCAATATCTCGTCTCAAAGTCATTTCGATTTGATCAGCTTCTCCTTCTGGGATTATAGTCTCAAAGTTGATTCTTCAGAAAGAGAGAAATGTTTCTCTTACGTAGGCGCGTAAAACCATGTAAACGTGTAACGAGGGAATTTGACTATTGCGACCGCGCTGAATAATGTTTAGCGAACGCGCAGAACGCCGCGATGAATAATTGATAAATCGCCAACATATACCACTGCTGGCATACAGTTGTGCACGTACGTACAATGCGTCGGCAGCGGATTGTGACGCGAGTTTAACACCACGATTTCTATCGCGCCGGTGCACCAAAGGCGAGACCTGGTCAACATAACATACGTGTTATGCAAAAGCACTACATATGTATACATATAATTGAATGATGTTGCGAAAATAGAATTCGCGAAATAGCAGTTTAATAGCTAGATAAAGTTTCGCGATTAAAAAAAATTATATGTTGATTTAATTATGTATAACTCTCGTTTTTACTTTGTTGGTTAATTTATTAGTTTCTTTTTTGGTTTATAATTACGAATTTTGACGCAAAATCTTGCGATACTTGTGACGAAATAACAATCAAAAGTTTCATACGTCCGCGTTTGATCCTATTCTAGTTTCCCTCTATTTATTTCCGCATATCTCGCAGTCTAAGGCCCTGCGCACAATAGAGAAAATATTAGGAATAGGAATAAAATATTAAATATGCGCTCTCTTCTGGTTTCAGAGATTTTGAAATATCATAATTTTTGTATTTATTTCTATGATCTTTTTACTATATCTTACTTGCGTGTTTATGTTTTTTTGTTTACATTTGCGTCACTGTCAGTATAGTATGTTCCGCCCCCCCCCCTGCGGGGGGGCTTCATTGTTAAAAAACTAGACACATAGGTTTGCGTTGAAATTCGCTTCGCGTGGAAAATGGAAAAATTCAAGGAACTTCGTTCCCGAAATGTAAACAAACACTTTCCACATCTGATTTACACAAATACAACAAAAACAAACTTTATTTTTTCTTATTTTATAACAGAAAAAGCATTAAAACTGTGAAACTTTAAAATTGCATATCTCTGGAATCAGAAGAGAGCGCCACAAAATTCAAAGTGCTTATTACTTAGGAATGTGCCCTGTATAATATATGTGAAAATGAAAACGATTCGTGAGGTGTAAGTTAATCTGAACATTTACCAAAAATTATTTCAAAATATTATTGCAATTTATATTTTTGCGAATATTTTTACAATTTATTTTTTTACATTAATTATTGCTTCAGAGATGCATGATATATCGATTATATTTTGTTATCACAATAGATATATTCACAGATCGAAAGATCTGACCTCGACCTGTGTCAAAGTCAGGACGACCGAATTTAATCTAACGATAGCCTAGTTTCCCCATGTTTTCTGCGCGTTTATTTTTTGTCCCCTTTCATCTTTCGTCCAAGCTCTGTTCTTTCCTCTATTGAGCCTCTCACGGGAGGTGCACTTTTCATTCGCAATCTCTCGTTGAGAGAGAAAGAGATGCCGTCGCCACATCGATTACGTTTCAACTCGTCCGCTGGGAATCGTCGTTCACGCTTAGGCTATTGCGAGAAATGGGATCGAATTAGTCGCGAAAACTTCATAGAGAAGGAGAAAAGGAAATTCTCGCGTTTCTTTTTTTAGAAAAATTGACCGCGGAATTTTACCTGGAATTCGCTAGGTATCTCGATATTGCACATCTTTCTCTCCTTCCTGGATTTCAATCGATGACGTTCTTGCAATATGAAAGGAGCAAATGTCTTCACAGTATATTTCAAAATCGCTAGGTATTTTAGTCTAGAATTTCGTAAGCGATTTGAAAGTGTCGAAACTTTTAATTTTTTTTTTTAGATTGCAAGAATGCAAATATAACGAAATTTTTCATTATACCTTATTTAAGTTTATGTGTGATTTAGCTTAATGAAATTTCACTTTGTGATTTTAATTTAATTATATAGAAATATACACATTTTGTGTAGATAATATTAAAGAACTATGAGAAAAGTGATACCGCAAATTATAGTTTTGCCAAAAATTTAATTGCAGAATACGGAAAGAATATAGTACAAAATACAAAGAATTTGAAATACATATCTTAAAAGCGGATGTACACACAAAAAGAAGTATCTTGATATTAATTCTCGTTGTGTCTGAGTTCTTCCAACTTTAAATTTAGGAAAAAATAAATTTTATATTAAAGTTATATTTAAATATTTTAAAATAAATAACATAAAATAAGTAATGCGACAAATTTAATGAATCTGCTGTTTTAATCTTCTATATAAAAGAAATCAACTAAAATATAATATCAAATTATCTAATGATTTCTAATTTAAAGATCAAGTTTGGTTTAATAATTATTTCGTAAAATGATATTCGATTTAATGCCGCTACTTTATATTTAAATTTTTATATACTTTTTTATATTTTTATCTTTAATTTAAATTAAAGTGATAAATATCTGATTTATATTGAGACTTTGATATTTTATTTAATATTTCCATTTTTAAATTGGAAACTAAAACTTTAAAAGAATATTGACAAAGAGTAATACAATTAGTTCTTTTTATGTGTTTTTTTCATGCGCTATTTTTATTCAAGCGCAAACTGTTTCCTTTTGATAATTAAGAGCCAAATTATACTACGCTATAAAAACCTCTTTCACGGTTGTCTCTTTTATCGAGAAGTATCGATTACTATGAGGGGTGAATTTACGGATCAACTGCGCGCCGGCAACCAAAGGGATCCAAACAATTACTTGTAGGAAGTAATACGCGGTCGTAAATTTCTCCGACTCCGCGATAGCACTTTAGTCGATTTATCTTCTCTCTAATAATAGTCCGGAATATCGCCTATGGTTGACGATTGGAATTCTTGGAATCCATCCATGTTTTACCCGGGAAACTCGCTTCGAGTCAAGAGGCGGCGATTCTCAGAGATCGTGATTTTCCTCGTCTTTTGCATCCAAGTTTCTCAGCGTGTCCCTCTCTTCCTCCAATCTGCAACGTCTTTGCAAAAATATACTGAAAGCAAGGTACGCATATATTGAGCGGCAGTCTCAGGACATGCTGCTTTTTCCAGATGACTTCCAACGTTTTCGATATTGTTATACTTGATTCGCTTGTGCTCTTGCATCAAAAAAGCAGAAAATAAAGTAGAACGGAATATATTAGGGCACTCAAAAGATGAGTTCGTTCAAAAGACGGAAATATTCAAAAACTTCTTATCTAATTTTAATGTATTAAAAATTCAAAAAATTTAGCACATCGAGATTATTTTAATTATCAGAAATTTAATTATTTATCAATATTATTTTGCTGCAAAAATAATTATTTACCGATCAAATTCTAATATTTACGAAGTTGTGTGCTTAATTTTGTAGATTAAATTACGTAAAATTATATTGTAAATTAATAATAACGATAAAGCAAATACATAGAAGAAATTTCTTGCTCATTGCTGTGATAGCAAACTTCGATTCCAAGAAATTTCTACAGAAATCTGTCGTTTCGTTCAGAAAGCTGAGTTGCTCGGATGGAGATGAAATCGCGCAAAGCGAAACGAAGTTATGGGCTCGTCGCCGTATTCTAAATACCCGGCAATCCATTCTAATTCCGTTCGAAAAGTTACTATGCAAGCGTCTCTTTCTTTCTTTTTTTTTTTGCCGCGCGCTTTGTCTAACTTTGGCAAAAATTTCATAAGAAATAATGAAAGCACGGCGACACGAAATAAAGGCTTCTACAAATATAATTACCTCGACGGTAACTTTATATGCACCGTGGGAACGAGTCTCCTGCCGCCGCGGTTCGCCCTCGTATTTTCGCAGATTTAAAAGGTAGCTCGGGGTTATATCGCATACATTCAACACGAATCCGTCTTTTTGCAAAAACTATTAATAATGAATTCAGCGCTCTTGGTTTTTGCGAGTGCTATTAAAATAAGACGGATTTCTGTAGAGAAATGTTATTAAACATGTGATTGAAACGATCTATCATACGAGTAACATAAAATAAAAGTGTTAATATGCATTTATTCATGGTGTATATATATGAATATAAAAGAGACTAATAAATAAATATATATTTATTTATTTATTTATATATTTATTTATTTAAATGTATAATATATTTATGTATTTATATAAATAAAGAAATGAAGGAAGGAATGAATCAGTGTTGAGGAAATCAATAAGTACTTTTAATATAATACGGTGAAATTATTTTACACTTTGTTACAATTTTATTCGTGTTTAAATAAAATTAGTTTTGAATATTTTTGTCGAATATGATCGTTTCTTTTGGCTTTATTTGGAGCCTTCATTGACAGATAAATTTTATTTAAACGTACCATTATATATATTTTAGAAATCTTTTAATCTTTTACAATTTTTTTTTAAATATTGTTTGAAACAATAAATCGAAAGTAAAGACAAATTTTAAGCAAAAAGCTAAAAGTGTTTATAAGTACCCATAAAAATTATAATGTAATATATTATAAATAGTGACATTACACAGTTTTATCAATATATAGTACCAATTAATTATTACCCATTTACGCTTTAGATCGATTTATTTCTTTTTCTATAAAAATATTGAAAATTATTACTATTGAATAATCGATGACACGATGGACAATTCTTTTTCTCCCGATAAATTCGATTACTACTTTTTATTGACTGGCGTCGTTTTCTTTTCTCTTTACAGAGGACGAGAGCGCCATGGTGCAGGGCGTCGTTACGAAAGATGGTCTATTCGACGGTAGCATCGTGACCAGATTCGAAGAGTATTACATCGAGCCGACGAGCAGGTATTTGAATAAAAATGAAGACACGTCGCCGCCCTATCACAGCATAGCTTATCGTACTTCCGACGTTACCACCCCGCCGCATGCATCGTGTGCCAGTCATCAGCTGCACCAAGAGGGAGCTCTTCGTGATTCCTTCGATAGGTGAGTCTCTATCTCGTTTTCTCGAATAGTAAGCATCATCAATATAAACCGACGACTACGACGTAAATCTCCTTTCAGATTATATAACAGGATTTAAAATTCATGAGTGATTTTTCATGCTATTCCGTTTGGCGTATTTTTTAGGTCAAATTAGGTCGACTATGTCTTTAGTTAGGATGATGTCAAATGAGATAATGTTCATAGAGCTTTCTAGGTTTTATCTCATGGAGATTCAGAATTCGAATTATGATGATGCATTATCTTTCTTTGTGATAGACTTCATGGTGTTTTCATTTTTGTAATTTCTAGTTTTTAAAATGTTTTGATATTTAAAAGTGACTTTTTAACAGTATATTAAAAATCAAGTGGCATATTTCAATACGACCATATGAATTGAAATAATATTGAATTATTTTCTAGAAAATTTCTTTGCTTATAATTTATCATATTTATTTTAAATATAATTAAAATTAAGTAAAAATTTAATAACTACACTTTTATTACGACATGTTTTTAAGCGCGTACGTTCTATATCATGAAAATATGTTTGCACAGAGGAAATGACAAAAGAGCACATATTGTTGGCAAACGCGCTATAATTTAGACACGTGTAAGAAAACTTCCGCCGGCCAGGATTATCATATATTATGCGCGTTCCATGTCAATCTGTATATGGCAAATTTTAAATGTAAATTTAAATTTCACGATGTGTGCTGTCTGTTTCTTCATATATAGATACAACAACTCACAGGGATTCTACGAGCCCTTGCTCGGCGAACACGTCGCTCTCTACTCGAGGGAAAACAACGCGAGGGTGTTAACATTGGAAACGAATAACGAGGGTGATTACATAGACGCGTGAGTATTATGCATTTTTTAATAAAAAAAATATCCGAGTTTTTTTTCTTCTGATTTTAGTATGTTAATAATATTAATGATGTTAATTATATTTATGACGGAATAATTCTAAAAAAAGTATATGCTACAATTAATATTTGATGTTCTTATAAATGATGCTTTTATTATATTTTTATATTTAATTTTTTGTGTATTATTCCATGCATATATAATTAATTACTGTGTTATTAACTGATTATACTATCTAATATTGTTTTAAATATGAGATATACGTAAACAATAAACTTTTATCATACATATAAGAAGAATTATTATCGAAGAGTATAAAAAAATATTAGAAAAGATATAAGCGTAATACCGATAACATTAAAAAATATATACCGTAAATATCTCTTCTCGTTGTCCTCGAATGCAACTTATGACTTGTATGTTTTTTATTAATGACTTATTTAATTATAAAAGAAACAAAACAAAACGTGGAAAGAGCCCAACAATTTCAACATTATACGGAATGCTAGTTGATTTTATCCTGAATTGATTCAATATTAGCGAAGTACTGGGAACGAAAGTCACGGTCGGAATTGAACATCGCAAAGTTAAAATAGAATTCGGACGAGCGGACGTTCGGAGTTAGGAACTCAGGTGTGAGAAAGCATGGCGTTTTTCATCGCGCAATAAAAGCGACCCTATTTCTCTCCCCTGTCCTCGTAGTATGAGCAACAGAGATCGGATTGCGAGGCATCTGCACAAGCGCGCAACGGTAGATCCTCGGAAAACTACCTGCATGCTCTACTTGCAAGCGGACCATCAGTTTTTCGCGCGATACGGCACGGAGGAAGCCTGTATTGAGGTGATGACGAGGCACGTGCAGAGAGTCAACTCTATCTACAAACACACGGGTGAGTGTTTTTCTTCATAGTAATATATCGTGTGGAGAAATGATCTAACATGTTCGCTGGTCCAAAAAGTCAGGAAAATTGAAAACTGTCGAGAGGAATACGAAAAATGTCAGAAGAATCTAATTTAAAGTAGCCAGCGAATAATGAGAAGAAAAAACGAGAAAGTTTAAAGACTTTCTTAAAGAATGTCGGAAAATATTTAACGGGAATTTTCTGGAATTTTATAATTTTTGTCGCGCCATTAATAATTATAAAAAAATGAGTTATTTATTCGATTTTTAATCATTGACATTTAAATTTATATTTATATTAATGTATTTCAACATTGCTCAATTTAACGTTGTATTTTTGTACAAAAGATACAGTAAAAATAGTTATTTTACCTCATACATGTATTGGTATACGAGGTAATCTTTTTATTTTCCTCTTGTTTATACTCTTTTGTTTATACTCTCTTGTTTTAATATGTTAATACTTTAGTACATTATGCTAAAAACGATGGAACTATAGCCGAAACTTTAGTTTGCGAAAAACCGACAAAAAGATGAATAATTAATTAGAGTAAACAAAGGAAAACAGAGTTCCCATATATTACATGTAATAATGCAATTTAATATGTCCCATAAAACTAACTCTGCAATAGTATTAATTCTAATTTAAAAAATATAAGATAAACTTCAATCTAATACAAATGTGAATCTATGTAATCTTAAAAAATAGAATCGTACTTATAAAAAAAATTTTGCGTAAAAAATTTCCGGGATTAATACAATGGTTTTCCAGCGTCTCCGGAATGTTTTATTCTGTCTCAATTTTTGCGATTCTCTCTGAGTATTGTTATTGAGTTTTTAGATGTTGAACAAATAGTATACATTTTTATAATGAATATATTTATTTATTTGTAATGATAAAATAAAACTTTGATTAATATTCCTA